GAAACAATTTCACAGACAGACATAAATTAGGCTTAATTGTTAGATTCTGACACGACAGATTCTAACCTACATAATAGGCCGACATAACTGACTAAAACACCTCATGCAATATTACAAAACATGTCAAAATGATGACACTGTCTGATAAACGGTAAACAGGCAGTCAGCACAGTGAAGATTATTTACAATGAATTCAAATTGTAATACAATGACTATTAAAGAAGCATTTACACTGAAGACAGAACTTAGGCTACTGCTGATTTAATGTAGTGGACATATTGACATGCTTTTGTCATCCGTTGAAGTTTAATTAATTAGCTGACTATAATTAATCATTAGGGTTGGGAAGTTTACTTTTTTAAATGTAGTAGGTTACAGATGAGTAATTACCCTGTTAAAAATGTAATAAGTAATGTAACTTGACTATGTAACTATTTGTATTGAAATTCTAATGTTAATTATGGTTATTTTATGTTTTTTGTGAGTCACTTTGGATAAAAGCCTCTGTCAAATAACATAACCATAACATACAGTTTCATTAAACAAATAAACAAAACAGTTGGTTTTGCAGCGAGTCATCATAGGCTAACAGATGACATTTAGCACTTGTTGCTTGTATGGCTGTTCAATACAACAGAATAGTTGTTAACTTAAAAAAACAAAACATGATTCACATTACTCACACTATTACTGTAATTAGTGATTCAATTAATCAACTATGACACCTAGTTGGGCTTGCCAAAATCACGCTAGTTTCATTAAACAAATGATCAAATATGCTAACGAAGCTAATGCTTTTGCCGAAAGCTATAGCTAATGAATAGTTGTTTTTAGAGACTTTAATACGGTTAGAAGCTATCATAAGCAAACAGATGTTTGTTTGTATTGCCTTAACACTATCATAGTTAATGTTGGCTAATCACACTTCATTTCAAGACACCGGAATTGTTATTAATGTTAAACAAATAAAACTGTAAAAGCACTTCACATTACTCACATTCTCTGCGTTGACGTTCACATTCATGTGAACGTGCTCCGTCACGTGCCGCCGTGACGCGGGACCTGTGTGTGTGCTCGTGACGCGGGACCTGTGTGTGTGCTCGTGACGCGGGACCTGTGTGTGTGGTTCTACAAGTGTCGTCTCCGACGCTGCAGCTTCATGCTACTCGCTGTGTGTGGGCCGGAGGGCGGAGGGCCTAAATCCTATCGGCCCACATTTGTAAGTGTTCCGGCCCAGCCCAGCCCAGTGGGGTGTGGCCAGGGTTGGGTTGTAACGGAATGCATGTAAGGGTGTTACGTAATCAGAATACAAAAATCAAGTAGGCCTAACTGTATTCAGCTCGCGTTACATTTGAAAAACGAGTAATCTGATTACAGTTACTTTCGTAAACCTGAAGTGAATACATTTTGGATTACTTATTGGAATTATTGGTGGAAAGATTTCCTCACAACATTTAATATTCATTACTAAAGGTACAGCCGAATCATCACAGCGCACAAAACGGCGCAGATGGACCAAAAAGGGGAGCGTTTGAAAAAAATGTGCGGGTCCGCTCAGTGAAACAATAACAACGTAACATGGAGGAACAAAAGTCTGCATTTAAATCGTGTGTGTGTGTGTAGAGGTGTGGTTAAACACATCAGCCACACCGCTCTTTAGCCTTTCTAATGATTCTGAAGGTAAACACAGTGAAGGCGGTGCGTGAAAGGCGGTGCGTGAAAGGCGGTGCGTGAAAGGCACTGCGCACTCGTCTTCTCAGAGGCTGAGTTAACCCTCCCGCTGCCTCCTGGTGCTGCAGAGATTTCATGAAGTGAAGGAGGTTTTCCTTCTATAAAACAGCTGCGGGCAGCAAATACTGTGAGAGTCACAGACATGAATACATAGATCAAGGCAGACTGGTGCACACACTCTCCTGTTTTGCCAATCCGGTGCTTAAACAAATATAGCTCTACACCCCTGGCCGAAATGTCCTTAAAATGAAGTCCGAGTTCGACATTTTAATTAATGTCCTGCCAACACTGGCAGGACAGAAGGCGACACACCCTTTCTAAGCCATGTCCTCACATCCCAAGCTGCATCCCCAAAAAGTGTATTATGTTGTTACAACAGGGTTCAGGGGGAATGGCTGTACGACTGTACCCGTAGGATAGAAAAGGGGGAAGTGACGTCTGACTCAGAGGTCGCGCGGCTGTGGAGAAGAACGTGTTGCCCACATTCTGTTACTGAGTTTAGCAGGCTTGGTTTATTGTTTTGGGTGCAGTCACTTTTGCCTCCACTTGCTGTTCAAATAAATGTTGAAAGAAAAAGTTAATCTGTTTGGATGTATCCCCCTGCCCGATCGGTACTGCGCATGTGCGAGATGGTCCCCCATATTGGACAACTCCGGACGGCAACCCAAGATGGACACTTGACACAGTGGCTTTTGGCAAAGCTCAAAAATAAAACTCGAGAGAGATGAGTTATTGTTATTACAACGTGACTTCACTATTATTTAACAACAACTTTGTATTGGGTTCTTTTATTTGGGGTTAAGTACATTGTCAGAATAAGTGAGAAATGGATTTAACTTCTGTTAGACAGCTATCATACTGAATACATATTTACTGTGAATGTATGCAAAAATGTATGGCATATGGCTGTCTAACAGAAGTTAAATTCATTCCTCACTTATTCTTATTCTTAGTCACGTGGGAAATGTAGTCCTTTATAGTGCGTTGACGACAGACGTCACAATTAGGTGGCCTTTCTTATAAAATCAAAATACTGGCTCTAACAATACATTGCCCTCAGGCAACAAACCACTTTTGTTGACCTCACACTGGCCCTCTAAATATTTTTATTTTTTTAAATATACACAATGTCACCTGACATGCTGGTGTCCAATAAAATGAGGGAATTAAATGGGTGTGGCATTTTGTCTGGGTCTTTTCTGCACGCAAAGCTGCAGGGGACTCGGGGCCACCACTTGGTAAGATACATTTACCTATAACATATTAGAAATGTACACAACTTAAAATAAAAAATATATGCATGAATACGTAAAGAAGTATATTTGATTGTTTAAAGACTTATTATGTATTTATTAATTAGCTAAAACTATGTTTTTTTGTTCGTTGCCTCAGGGCAACACTGTGCCACTTAGACCTCTTTTTTCCAGGCAATATCATGCAAGTGTGCAAATGTGCTCAGCTGTAAAATGATAAACCTAGTCAATGTTTTTACTTGACCATTTTACCATCTACTGATATTTACTAGGGATAGGAATTTGAAAGCAAATGTATATTCGAATATTCGACCCCCAACGGTTAACCGATTAACCGAAATATCCTATAAAAAAAAAAAAAAGTTACAAAAAAGTTACAAAAAATAATATATATATTTAATTTGGAAAAATAAATAAATACAGGTTCAAATAAGTATAGAAACCAAGTCGAATTTGTCAAATGTATTGAACTGGTGATCACAGTTTGAACAGTTGACAGCTATAGGCCATAGCTTTCATGCTTAAAACATAACTTGGTTTTCTGATGGATTTGGACATAAACGCGAGTGAAGTATAACCGGACACGAGAGAGAGAGATCAGCACCTGCAGCTCTGCCCGCTGTGAGGGACCGGTGAGCGGAGCAAAACACACCTTTAGACCTAACACACTTAGCTATGGCACTGTTGTATACATTGAATTATTCCATTTGATCAACTAAGTAATATATTCATATTAATACCTGAATAATTTCGAATATTCTATTAATCGTTACCATCCCTAATATTTACAGGAAATGGACCCCAAAACATGTTATGGGCAGAAGGGACACGATCAGGCTGTTAGGGCTATTCCGTCTGACAGTGAGGACAGTGAAGGTCAATATAGGGTTAGGCAGGCAGGCAGGCAGGCAGGCAGGCAGGCAGGCAGGCAGGCAGGCAGGCAGGCAGGCAGGCAGGCAGGCAGGCAGGCAGGCAGGCAGGCAGGCAGGCAGGCAGGCAGGCAGGCAGGCAGGCAGGCAGGCAAGCAGGCAGGCAGGCAGGCAGGCAGGCAGGCACGCACGCACGCACGCACGCACACACACACACACACACACACACACACACACACACACACACACACCTAGGGCTGTTCGATTATGGCAAAAATCATAATCTCGATTATTTGGGTCAATAATTGATATCACGATTATTAAAAACGATTATCCATTTACTTCGAAAACATCCATTTATTGAAAAAAAAATGTTAACAGTATGTTTTTAACAGTTGATTACCCTGAACTTTAAGTATAATTCAACTGAAAAACCAATACAAAAATAATTTCAAAAATAAAATAAATAATCGTTGTAAGCCAAAATCGTAATTGCGATTAAAATACGATTAATTGAGCAGCCCTAACACACACACACACATTATGTTGTATAGATTAAAAGCATTCATCCTCATTAGGTTGAAAGTTTATGTTATGGCATTAAACACTAGCTTAGTTTGTTTATACAGGCAGACTGTTTGGATCTTGGCAATGGTGAAAGGTGGTAATGATCCTTGGGTCCCAGAGCTGAATAGAGTCCATCAAAATGTTGTTGAATTAGAAAGGGCCCAGAGCATTACATTACATGTTACTTGTTGGACGCTTTTATCCAAAGTGACTTACATACTCAGTACTGTGGGCAATCCCCACAGGAGCAATTTTAGGTGTCTCAGGGACACAACGACATGCTGACTGCAGTGGGGTTTGAACCTGTGACCCCCTGATCCAAACACCAAGGCTCTACCCACTGCGACACACGCCTCCGTTGTTTTTGGGGGATAATAACTCATTTTCTAACCTGAGGGACCCAGAAATCCTTGCTTTGCCCCTGAAGAACTGCACAGCATAGAGGAGGCTTCAAACTGTATGGCTGAAAACAGCTGCCTGCTGAAGCTAAAAAACAATGTGAACTGATGTGCTGACCCAAATCATCTCACACAAGAGCATGTGCAGCATCCTATCCAAATAAAAAACTGAAGTATGTTTTATGTTTGTTGCAGCGAGGGAGCAGTTGAGGCGATCCAGACACAGCAGAACCTTCCTGGTGGAGAGTGGAACCGGAGAACTGTGGTCGGAGCTGCAGACTGGTGAGAGAGTGTGTGTGTGGGGAGAGGGTTAAAATCATTTCGTTACCTCAACTGCCTCTGAGGGGGACCGTTTACTCCAAAAACCGCATATATTCTGAAGTCTTCCATCTTTGTACTGTCGTCCAGCAAAGACGTTTAACTGTCAGAGCTCTTATTGCTATGCTTCTTTATTTTGCACAAGTTTATGTAACAAAACAAGGATATGTCTGTACCTTCCTCTGTACGGCATCTCCCACCACTGATGTGTGTACAACAAGGCCGTAACCATGGAGTCAACATTGGGGGGGACCAAAAATTCAATTAAAATTTGAATACTAATTTCCTGCTATTCTAAAGGAAAATTTATAAAAATTCACTAACACATGGGATACTTTAAAACCTGTTAAACCCCATAAAAACAACAATATTCACGAAACTGTGTCTCAGGCATAGGTGTAGGAAGCATCCTCAATATGGGTGGGACAATTTGACGGGGGGTGTAGGCAGGTGGTGGACCTCAGTAGGGGGGCCCGGGGCATGCTCCCCCGGGAAGATTTTTTTTTTTAAATGTTGAAGTTAAATGCATCAATCTGGTGCACAATTAGGGACTAAATCTATGGATACATCTCTCAACACCCATATGAAACAGAACTGTAAACAGATTTACTTTTTCTTTATGCATATTTGACTAATCACTCCCCTAGCTACTATTCCTGAAAAGTTCGTTTTAACATCAGAACTGCATGTTATTTACACAAAGAAGCTAAACCGGAGGGTTCATTAACATTATCATTACAAAAGAAAATAATATAGATTACTTTAGAGCTAACTAGAAAAAGATACCAGAACTGATGGAGGGCAAATTAAAACATGACTGACCTGCTTGGAGCATCAACGCTAACTGAAGCTGGACTCGGACGTGCGACAGCTAAATACACCCACCGGGTACAAAATAAAGATATGCATAAACAAACAAAGGCGGAACCAATTTACATATGAAAAGAATATATCATTTTGGTGAAGTTCACAATAACAGAAAATAAAGATTTTCAAGTATACAAATAGCCAAAATAAAAAAGTCATAGAATAGCAATTTTATTTAAAAAAAATTATATCAGTTAGGCTATATATTGGGGGGGACATTTTGAGCGTATCTGAATATTGGGGGGGATGTGTGCGTTGTTGAGCATTCAGCAGATCTAAAAACCCGCCTATGCGGTGCACGCTGATACTACAATCGAGCATACTTTAGGTTGCAACGCACTAGCCTCAAGCGAGCCAATGAAAGCCCAGTACCGCAGTCAGACGTCACGAAAAGCTGCGTCCAAGAGCACTTGTCCCTCAAAAGCTTACGTTGCATGGTTTGCACTGCTTTTAATTATTCTTTCATCATATTTAATTCCGTTTCTCTTGTTTTTTTTTGTAAAACTTAAACTTATACAGGATTCAACAATGAAAGGCAGTTTGTATTAATTGTTTTAAGATTTGTCTTAATGCCTCTTTATGTCATAATGTAAAGTAGCCTTGTGTCTCATTATTATTTTTTTACGTCAGGGACCAGGGAAACCCAATGGATTTCCTCTACGTTCTGCACTTAACTTTTTCAAACAAAATTATTACAATATGAGCTCTCTTATCTCTGATCTTGTCATTTTTTGTGTTACTAATGTCTGAGGTGGTGGAAATTTCCATCAAATCAACTTTAAGCAACTTAAAGAGCAAACCAAGCTGCCTGTGAGCGCCACTCACACTAAAAGGTATGTTACAGCTACTTATTAATACATAAACACTGAACAAATTACCCTTCTCCAGGTTTAACTGTCTTTATTATCCTCCAATAAGAAGTTTTTATGCATTCCCTGGACCATGTCTTTCTCTCTCTGCAGTATGAACGGATCCACTGTAAACTCTTTTTCCTCCAAAGGATATATTTGGAATGACTGTGATCCTTATTATGATGATGACAATGATGGTGCTGGCAAATTAGGGGGTCCTTCTGCTGGCTTCATCATCCTCCTCACCACTTACTGCTTTGAATTCCTCGTTGGTGGTCCGTTAAACCTTTGGCTCATGTTCCACATCCTCGGCCAAAGGTAAATATGTTTTATGCAGTGACATAGCATGTAAAACCTTAACTTGATCTAGTTAGGGAATAAAAAAAGGGTTAAATAAATGATTTATTATTTGCTCAATTCAAAGGTCAAAGGTAAGCGGTGTCCTTCATGCAGACTTATTCCCGCTCCACCTGACCGTCGCCCAGCTGATGTTCTTCATGGCTTTTCCTCTGTTTTTTATCAATCACTGGCTGTGGCGTAGTGTTAATGTGCTGGCTGTCGTGACCTTCCTGTCCTCCATGGTGCTCATCATGAAGCCTCTGCTGCTCTGCCTGTCGTGTGTGGAGGGGTACGTCGCTGTGGTGCGACCCATCCTCTATCTACGGTAAGACCACACACATGATGATGTCCTTAGAGATGTAATGGGCCTTAGAGTAATAGCATGACACCATATTCATTGTGACTTCACTTAAGCAAGAGAATCAGAGCTGATAAGTATATTTATGTTGTTGTTAAATGGCCTGTGTTACTATGAGGAACCTTTGCACCTTCCCTTGGAATATGCAAAAAATCTGACGTTTTTTATCAGTGGACACTGAATTATTGTGAGATATTGGATTGACAACATGGGTTATAGGGTTAAAAAATAATGACTGTCATTTTAGATTTTTTCAGGTACGCCATCACAGAAACAGTTGGAGATCCTAATGGCGTTTATATATTATATGGCCATTTATACAGTCTATAGAGGACTGGTATGATAACAAATTCAGAATGATTCAGGAAATGTTATCTGTAGAAATCTGGAAGAAGTCGAACATTTCTCCAAATCGCCCTTCTTTTGTTTCTTTTATCAAATGTATTTATCTCAAAAGAAAGACACCTGATTTTCATTTTATGTCTTCGGTAATTACTTTATAAAAAGCTGTGGATGTGTACACATCTTTATATCTCTAAAGATGATTATTTGAACATGATGAACCTGAACAAAAGGAACAATCTTCGGACCTGATGAATTTCTGGAAGTGCTGTAGAACATCAATACCTGTGCTCCTTCCTACTTCCCCTTCTTTTAGGATCAAGGAGCGTGGGTACAGGTGGCCATGTTTGGGTGTCTGCTGGTGCATTTACATCATCCTGGCGATCTCTTCTATTGTTCAGCGCTCCATCTTCACCCTGTGCCTGGTGTTCCTCCCTACGTTCATCATAGACACCTTCTGCACCCTGTATGTTCTCAGAGAATTAAAAAAAACTCCCCCGTCTTCACAAGTTGTGAGGATGGAGGAGAGGGAAGAAGGAAGGGCGGAGGAAAAGGAAAAGGAAGTTGGAGGTAGCAAGCCGAGGGAAAAAGGAAAGATGAATTCCATGAAGAAGAAAGCCTTTGTGACCTTTGTCATCATCCAGGCCGTCGTCTCTCTCAACTACCTCCCCCTCATCATCACCATGACGATGGAGGGGAGGTTTTCAGCTGTTGTGATGAAGTGTCAGTACCGGACCTCTGGTCTGGCTGCTGCCGCCAGCTGTAGCTACCTGCAGCCGCTGCTCTACCTGCACCGACTGGGCCGGCTGCTGTGCTCAGGAAACACCCGCTGAAACCCCCAATATCTCAACAGGGTTACCTTACTTAATTCCCATCTCTGCTGTGGGATAACAACCATAAGCTTATACATTTCTAAAGCACATTCATATCGTTTGAAGGCAGCAGCAAAACATATTTTGTCTTTCATAAAAAAAATCAGAGGGTGGATTGCTTAACTTCTTTATTAGTACTTCTGTTTCCTCCTCCAAACCTTCTTATTATACATCCATGATTTTATCATCATGCGCTAATGAGCAACTCTAATAAGAATGAATGAGGCCCCGCCTCCCACGCTGTATCCAGTTCTTATTATAATACATCCATGGTTGAGAGACGCCGTCGAGGAACAGTTTTTAACCGTACACGTACACATACAAATCGTACAAGTACCCTTTAAGTTATGAAGTTATATACGCATTATCAAGAAAGAAAGAATACGTTGTTTGTTATTTTATTTATTATACCTAAAGCCAGTTGAGTAGCACTTGAAATGTTTGGCTCTATGAAACCTGATATACTTATATGATTCTGTTTTCTTCAAGGTTGTGTCTTCCTGGTCGAATGTACTTATTGTAAGTCGCTTTGGACAAAAGCGTCAGCTAAATGCAATGTAATGTAATGTAATGTATTTGAGTTGTGCTTATTTCTTTTGAATATTGTAAAGGCCTATTCTTTGTTGCATGTGCAAAAGTTTGTTATTTCATTTTGAGCAAACACATCGCAACATCATCTAACCATCGGAGGCCAAGCAACACAAGTAACTGAGTCCAGTAAAGTTAGAACGATATTATTCGGATTTCACTGATCAATAACTCATGAACAAGACGTTGTTCAGACACAAATTACGTCTCCTAAGCACTCCTAAGTACCGGTTGACAACGAACTACAATCACATTTTCATCAAAAAAAGCCAATACGTGCCGTGACGTCCTTCAAGCCATGGACACATTACATTGGTCTCTATCTGCAGCCGGAGAAGAAACGAGTGCTCAGGGACCGTCTGCAAAGTGCAACTCCGAAAAAAGATAATACAATAATATTCAATCACTATTATACATCTTATGTCTACCAAACTCACCACACACATCAATAGTCTCCTGGTGGTCATACTACAGCAAGAAGTTTGGAAGAATATGCTTTTGAATAATTTTGGTGAATATTTATAATGTAAAATCTTCAATAAATATTGCATCATCTTCAATAACTTGACTATTATACAGTACATTTCTACCAAACTCACTACACACATCAATAGTCTCCTGGTGGTCATGCTACAGTAAGAAGTTTGGAAGAATGTGCTTTTGAATAATTTTGGTGAATATTTATTTAAAAAGAAAAAAGCTTTGCTAAAGATTTTGGGCAACTGAAGTAATGATTAATAATCACCTGTCCATAGTTTTAAATTGTTATATTCTTAATTAAGATGTTAAATGTATTTTCCCTTACAGATTAGTCACAGATGTTCATGATGTTTTCCATGTCAGACATTAGATTGTAGATGTATTCATTAACATTGTACAATAAGATAGATGAGCTCCACAAATCATGTGAAACCCAGATTTGGCACAAAAAAGGGGGAATACACGTTTCGCAATTATGCCACATCAAGGTGGAACGCTCTTCCCACAACTGTAAAGGAAAGTAAAACTATACTTACCTTCAAAACCTCTCTTAAAGAGCACCTTCGGGGGAGAGCATTGCAAAACTGGCCCCGGTAATGGTACAAATCTCAACCTGTCGTTCAATGGACAGCTTCCCCCCCCCCCATCTATGTATATACTCGCATTTTAGACTCTGTTACTAACTGTATATCTGTAGACTTGGTATGTCTTAAATGTCCGGTTAGGATGTATTAGAACGAAATCTAAAATGAAAATTGTAAATAAGCAATCTGTATGTAAAAAACCACGTATGTAAATTGTAAATAAGCCATCTGTATGTCAAATATGTCTTATATGTCTTAAATGATATGATGAATTGGAAATGGGGGACCCTGATGTAAACAAGACGAAAGTCTTTCTCTGGTCTGCATCCCCTTAACAATTGTATGTTTTGAGCTGTGCTGTACTGTACCCAATATACAAGCTGTTAATAAACGTTTCAATCAATCAATCAATCAAAAAGCCTGAAATGTTTTATTTTTCCATTTTAACTTTATTTGACGGTTTCATAGCTAATGAAAAAGTTGTTTCATGTCTTAATTTATATATAACATACTGTATGAGTAACATATATATGTAATATATCAATGTGTGTGATGTCTATAGTTTATTGAAGATTAAAAGACTGTTCTACTTTTGATGGATCTTGCTTTGATGTAGGTGATACCATGTATATATTCAGTCTGTAAGTTAATTAATGAAAGAACAATAAAACAATGTTAAGGTTTATGAATAAAGAGGAGATCTTCTTTTGAGTTACATTTCAATAGCTTCTGGTTAAAATTAAGGGGTCTCCTGTTTGACAGTTTCGTATACTTACCAATATACTTTATTTTTAAAATAACATAACAATCATTAAAATACATTTTCAAATACACTTTCGTAGTCTAGCAAGTTAGAGACCATTAATGTCTGAGGTGAGTTTGGTAGCATATTTCTTGAAGATTTTCCAATATAGATATTCACAAAGATTATTGAAAACCATATTCTTCCAAACTCTCTGCTGCAGTGTGACCACCAGGAGACTATTGATGTGTGTGGTGAGTTTGGTAGAAATATACTGTATAATAGTAAAGTTATTGAAGATGATGCCATATTTATTGAAGATTTTACATTATAAATATTCACCAAAAAAATTCAAAAGCATATTCTTCCAAACTCTCTGCTGTAGTATGACCACCAGGAGACTATTGATGTGTGCAGTGGCGGACTGGGGCTAAAAATCAGCCCGGGAATAAAATAAAATCGTCCCTCCGTTGCCTTCTGCACAGAACATAGTGCGAGGTGGTTGCTATGCAACAACAATAACAGATAGCGAATTAGGTGCTTTTTTTTCTGGAGATAGGCACTTCTCAATCCACTCCTCCATAGTAAGGCCACCCCGGAGGTCGAAGTTAACCTTAAATGTGTCCATCTTAAGCTTTGTTAGTTAGTTAGTTAGTTAGTTAGTTAGTTAGTTAGTTAGTTAGTTAGTTAGTAGTTAGTTAGTTAGTTAGTTAGTTAGTTTCGTGACGGACGTAATGTAACAGTTGTAACGGTTCTCAGACGCGGAGGGATACTGATTTGTGAAAAGTAACAACAACTATTCCCTGGATATACGCTCATTATATCACGGCTAAGAAACATCAGATTGCTTGATTTGACTTGTCCGTTTTATAAACATGTACTAACTGTGCTTAACCACCCCCCCCCCCCCCCCCCCCCCCCCCCCCAAAAAAAGTTGTAAATCAAACAAGTGCAGTACATGCTATGTTATAAAGCCGTGGAGGGCGGGAGTTTATAAACCAAAGAGTAACCGCCCTTACGGGACGCTGTAATAAGTAAAGCGAACGCACCCGCAAGGACCTCCTATTGGTTGAGGGATTTTGACAGGATTGTTGCACAAAAGTTTCGAGCGCGCACAGAATAAATCTGAGAGCAGAACAAATATATAGTATAGCGTACAGTTTGAGAAGAAGCAGAGCAAATCTAAGTGCAAGCAGGCACTATTTGAGTGCGAGGACAGGGTTTGAGGGAAATAAATACATAAAGTATGCTCTCAAATTTAAATACCACGCTCTTGAATAAAGATAGGGAATAACCCCCATAACGTCAGACCAATAAGACCTACAGAAAAGGCTTTAGATTAGCTAAACTGGCGCAGTTAATTAAAAAAAGAAAAACGAAATTGGGTCACGTCTCAAGGAAAAAAAATAGATTGATTCACTCATGATTGATTATGGGAATATCATTGAGATGCAAGGTTGTCGTGGGGTTTTTCAAATACTCTCCAAAGAGTTTTCAAACTCACATTACTCAGTGCAAGAAATGCTGTCAGAGCAAGAACAAGAAAGTGATCATGTTGACTGGTATCTCCCAAAAATTGCATATTTCAATGAGTTTCAAGATGTGATGAAGAAATGACCATGGCTCATACTGCACTTATGTCAAGTCCACATAAAGCAATATCAGTGGGCATGATAAGCAAAAAAGGTAAAAGTTCTAGTGGCAGCAATACATCTTCAACAGCTTCATCAGTAAGAAGAAAGGCAGAGGCAGAGAGAGCTGCACTCATATCACACGCTGCTGCCTTATCACAGAAACGCTCACTTGAAAAACAAGAAGCTGACCTGGAAGCAATGAAAGCTAATATCAGAGCTAAAATGGAAAAGCCTGAGCTGATATTGATGCTGCAACAGCCACAATTAAAACATTGGAAGCTTCTGAGGATGATGACTCTGACCCTGACCCTCGTGTGGGGGAGGAGCAGCATGACACTGGTCAGCCAGCTGAAAATGATGATATCCAGGATGAAGAGAACCAAGGCAAACCTGTGGAGAAGGATAATAAAAAGAGTTTCATATACTTCAATTCAATGAACTCAAGTCATGCAGCCCCTAGTGGTCATATCCAAGTATTACAACCAGGGCCCACAACAAGGACAGCAGCATCAGCACAGCAGCATCACTCCATCCAAGTCAGACAAAGCTCTCGGACAGAAAGCAATGACTTTATTCAAGTAATGCAGCGAAAAAACTAAATCACTGAAATGCTAATGAAGGAGCAACGCTTAACATTACTCCCATCCAGAGAAATACCCATCTTTAAAGGAGATCCATTACAGTACCTTTCATTCATCAGAATGTTCGAACATACAATAGAAGATAAAACTGACAATTACAAAGACAGGCTGTTCTTTCTAGAGCAGTATACAGAAGGCCAAGCTAAAAACTTGGTCAAAAGTTGCCCAAAAGACAGCTCCAAGAGACTATGGACATCAACTCTTAATCGCAGCAGCTTGTTTGGACAAAATGTTGAACTGGAATGCTTTAACGAGTGAAGATAGAAAGGCACCGCATTCTTATGGTACGTCCACACAGCAGATTTTCAAAAATCTTGAAAATCTTGGAGCTGGGCGTGTCTGAAAGCTTGGGGATTTTTTGCGAGCAACGCGACCAACAACCAATCACATGAATCTCCCGCCCCCGACATACAAAGCAATATTTTCAAGATTTTTGAAAAGCTGCTGTGTGGACGTACCGTTATGCTATCTTTCTTCGTGGATGTTGCAACACAATGGAAGATGTTGAGTTTTTTGATGAAATGAATAGCACATCAAAATGTGATCATGAAACTCCCATTTAAACTTAGGGAAAAGTGGAGAACAACTGCATATGCATATTATGAACACAATAAGACAAGAGCAAAGTTTCCAATATTGGTCGACTTCATTGAAAAGCATGCACGCATTGTCATGGCAAAAAGGGATATTAAAGTGTACAAATCACCCAGCAATAAGCCTGCTCATGGTTATAAGGGAAGTCGTTTTGTTACTGTGACAAGCCCAGGAGTCAATGAAGAGTAAAAAAACCTTTCCAAAACATAAAATCAGACCATAAAGGCATTACTGTTCAGAAGCGCTGTGTATTTTGTGCAGGAGAACACACCTCTGAAACATGTAAGATGAACAACAAATCTCACAATGAAAAGATTGACTGCTTAAAAGCACAAGGAATATGCTTTGGCTGTCTAACGAAAGGACATCTAAGCAAAGACTGTCAGAAAAGAATGAAATGTGAAGTTTGTTCAATGAAATATCCAACAATATTGCACATCTGCAAGAAAAGGATTGAACAAAAAGACAACTCAGATAAATACACCCACATTTTAAAACAATTCATACAAATTGCCATTCATTGTTGAATAAGTTTAAGTTTTACAAAAAAACAACAAGAGAAACGGAATTAAAAGCAGTGCAAACCATGCAACGTAAACTGTTGAGGGACAAGTGCTCTTGAACGCAGCTTTTCGTGACGTCTGGCAGCGGTTCTGAATGCAGGGCTTTCATTGGCTTGAGGCTAGTGCGTTGCAACCTAAAGTATGCTCGATTGTAGTATCAGCGTGCACCGCATAGGCGGGTTTTTAGATCTGCTGAATGCTCAACAACGCAGACTTCACCCGACAGACACAGTCAGCAATAAAACAAGCGCTCCCAATTGTTTACTGAGAACTCGCGCGGAGTTTAGATATTGTACACACATCAGTGGCGGGAGATGCCGTACAGAGGAAGGTACAGACATATCCTTGTTTTGTTACTTAAACTTGTGCAAAAATAAAGAAGCATAGCAATAAGAGCTCTGACAATTAAACGTCTTTGCTGGACGACAGAACAAAGATGGAGGACTTCGGAATATATGCGGTTTTCGGAGTAAACGGTCCCCCTCAGAGGCTGTTGAGGTAACGAAATGATTTTAATAACATTAGTGTTAACATCTTTAGCTTGTTGCTGTCTTTAGAACATTGTGTATGTTAGCTTCAATGTGTTTGAACGGTTTGAACAGCACCTCTATAGTTGTTAAATAATGTTATATAAACGTCATACACCTTTTTATATGTTGCATTTTAGTAAAACTGTGTAAAAAGAGAATAATACTGGTAGCTTCATGCTGATAATAACGCCCCATATTGAAGCAAAAATAACCC